CCTCAAATCAGAGTTTTATCAACTAGATCCAATATAGCTTTCATTCTACACCCAAATTTGAGTTATCCTAAGGAACTGAATATTCGCCAAAAACTCTATATTTCTTATCCCTTTGTTTTCAATCTGATTTCATGACTTTTGATATTTCAATCTATGGATTAATTCTGTTAGATCAAATATTGAATCCATATTATCAGGTTAAAGATAGATAGGGTTAGAAAAATACAGTTTATGACGATTTCCCAGTTCCTTTATCTGACTCAAGACTAGGGTTTATAGCGAACGAAAACTGTTTGCATTTTTCGGATTGCGAAAAAATGCAAAATTTTCGGCGACATTTTTTGCGAAAATGCGAAATTTTCGTGAAACGTTTTCCCCATTTCGCTGGAATCCCTGCTGGAAACCCTACTAAAGGCTTGAAATTTAAAACTTTTCTGTTCTCATTAATAGCTCTCCAAAAAAAGCTATTATTTTTTACCATATAAGATATTAATCTAGGTTGAAAGGAATGGAGTCTTTGCCACAAACTCTGATTTTCTAATACTTTATCTAGCTTTGCAACATAATGACGTAAACCATAGATATTTCAAACTGAATTTTTAATTAGATAATCTAAGTTTGAAATATTAAAGGTGTACACCATTAGGTTGCAAAGATAAAGAGATTAGAAAGTTTTGGTTTGTGAAAAGGACTCCTATATTTTATTATGAGGTGCAAAGATTATTCTTGATTGGTATTTGTTTTAGGTTTAATTATGAAGTATGTTCTCGCCCTATTTGTCTTGTCCTGTATGTGTACAGTCTACACCTCAGCTCAAACACAAAGTTCACAGGTGGCATTTTTTATCTTTCTCAGGGGTAGGGGGGGGGGTGTCTTTACTTTCCATAGTACATAGGGGAACTCATTTTTTATTCCTTTTGTACTGAGTGATAAAGAATTTTTCAAGAAAATCTCTAATGGGTAAATTTGAGTAATTTGTAAAGAGTAGATAATTATCCCAGATAATTATCTACAAAGGATGAGATTTCAGAGACGACTGTCCGGAATTTATATTGTCTCTTCTTTTTTTAAACGTTTTTCTTTCTTTGTCTTATCATTAAATAAGCCATTATAAGATTAAGCAGACTTAAATTATACCCTTAGGATTGTCACATTTTAAGAGTTCCGGGTCGTCTTTACAGTCTCATCCTTTGTGTATATCCTTGTACATAATTTAAAACCTAAAAACAAATATAATTAATATGATTGTAGATTCTTCTGAGTAGGCCCACCAGAGCAGCTTGCAACTCTAAGGTATTTTAAACATTTTAATACTTTTTTACTTAATTATAACTTTTTCTACATTTAGTGCATAGTTCATCATTATTGTATTAACACATTTACTTAAATACCTGTACATTGTACAATGTAAGGTATTATAACTATTTTTTTTTTAAACATTGGCGTGGGTAACCAGCTTTGTCTTGAACTCTGCCTAACTCCCTTTACCTTCCTCCCCCCCCCACCAAATTTCCTTCCACATCCTATCCTAGAATTCACTCACAATAAAAAATGTGCATCTAAATTTGAAAAAGCTGCATGTGACATGTTTTCGGCTACTTCCGATTGTTAACGATTTCAAAATAAACTTGCGGTTAACGGAAAGTTTGCCAGCCCCAAGGGTGTAATGCAAGGAAAGTTAATTGAGGTCGTGTAAACTCTGCGTACAGATTGAAACCAGTTCTCTTTGGGCGGAATTTGTAAGCAAGAATAGATGCATCAGTGTTCGTTTTGTATCCGAGGAGGTTAAAAGCATTAAATTTGATAATTTTGATAATTCACATAATAGTTTCCTATGACCAGAATATTTCATTGATTTTTTATGTGAAAGATGGCTACCATCTCAGGCTGTAACATCCGTCTTGTGTTTACATTACCGCCCAGAGACAGTACACTGCAGTACAAAAGATGCGTACACTTCTGAAATAACTTTCCTTGCATTTCATCCTTGGCAAGCCCTATGTATTACTGAATACTGATATCATGCACACCCTGGACTAGCAGAGTTAGAGGCAATCGGTTTCTTCTATCATGCACGTTTTGGTCTATAATTAAACCTTCTTTATATTTGGATTTTTTGTTTAATGCCTTTCATTCAAAACATATATGCGGGGAAAAAAGTAAATACAAAAGGTAAGACATTAATCATGTTTATTAGGAAAAATTGTGATTGAAAGTCACAGCTTTCTCGAATATTGACAGAAACGTAAGCTCTCAGCTCACCATCCCCTTTTTGCCGGGTACCATCCTCAAAATAATTTTTTTGGAAGCATTAACTTATTTTTAAATTGTTTCAGGAGTGTAGGGAATGTAAAGGATCATGTGACGGTTGTAATATGTGTCCTCTCTGTGCACTATGTGGAGGAAATACTCTGTAAGTATTAAACAGGTCTAAAATATAGGACTGCGCACGTTAGGGCTTTTTTCAAGTTGTTAAAAATTCGTTAAAATCGTTGAAAAAAACTACTTTTCTTGTGAACATTCGTTCTTTAGCCAAGAGCTGAATGTTTTTTTTTCGGTAATGGTATTTTTGGTGCTTTCTCAAAGTTTCCGTTCGCTAACGATCTCAACTTTATTAATGGCATTAACAGAAGTTGTCGTTTAAAGACAATTAGTCGTTAACGTTAACTTGTTAACGGACTCTTCAGTTCATTTTTGAAAACTTGCATTTCGTTAACTAAACTTTGCCTAGGCCTGGTGGGTATAATTAGGGTGATTTAAAATTTGAGATATTTTAGGATGGGGGGTCTAAATATAAAAAAGTTTTACTTCTTTTCACTTTTTCAATGAATTAAATGAATTATAATCTTGATAATTGTCCAGTAAAGAAGGAATTAAACAGACGACTACCACATCTTCTACAGTCGTCGGCGTTTATATCAATACAATGAAGACGACTTTTTTATTTAAGTTTAGATTCCTAACAAGCTTTTCTCATATATCAAGTTTACAAGTTAACAAAAACAGAAGCTGTTAATTTACAAATTATTTTTGTTTCCATGTTTATAAGTATCCATGCTGCCTGAAAGCTTGATAGAATTTAAACTTTAAATCGAAATGCATTGTATTAATATACACGATGATGACTCTTTTATTTCCGATCTGAAATTCATATAAAATAGGTTGTATTGGCAATCACAATTTACAACATGGACAAAGTTAGACATTTCCTAGACTTACACAGTCAGGCATAGACAGAGATTGGGATTTTAAAATAAGGTTTAAGGCAATGTGTTCAAGTCTACCCACATTTGGAAACCTCAAGATTAGGTTTCCAATATTAACTGTCAATTGTCATTATAAATGTATAACTTTAACACCGATCCCCTCAAAAATGCCGAGCAGAGCAGTCACTTTTCTGTTTTTCTTCATGTTGCGTTTTCAGTTTCTTTTGGTTCATACAAGCTTTGTCCGTTTTCTGGCTTTTAGGGTTCCTTGTAGGCCAGAACTGCATTATTGCATGGTTCCTTGTAGGTCAGAACTGCCTTATTTCATGGTTCCTTGTAGGCCAGAACTGCATTATTTCCATGGTTCCTTGTAGGCCAGAACTGCCTTATTTCAGTTCCTTGTAGGCCAGTACTGCATTATTTCATGGTTCCTTGTAGGCCATAACTGCCTAAATTCATGGTTCTTTGCAAGGCCAGAACTGCCTTATTTCATGGTTCCTTGTAGACCAGAACCGTATTTCTGTGCTTAATTATTTAGTAAACCATCAAAATACTCAATTGAAAACAGACCCCAAAAACCAACCTTTAAATCGTCATATTTTTAAGGTTTTTGGTCGTATTTAGAGTCTCATTTTTTGTGGGTAACCCTGTATTTGGAAGATGCTAAAACTCAGAATCCAGGATCTTATATTGATATTTTTCCATATAACTCTAAAATTAACATCTAGAACGGCCATTGTAGAGTTTATCTAGAGTAAATTAACAAAACAAAAAAATTGACATATTTATTTTCAGACCCCCTTGTGACAACTGTAATTTCTGCCAGGGAGCTGGGGGAGCTGGAATATCGAATTGCAAGAATAAGTGCCAGGATGGAAAGAAAACCCCCACTTGCAAAGACTGTATTGAAAACTGTTAATTAATTGAATTTTAATAAATAAAATATATCTCTTTTCCCAGTTTTTATATTTAAGGTACTAACTAAAGTGCCTGGCGTTGCCCGTGAAATAAAAAAAATTTAATTTAAAAAATCAACTGTTGAAGAATATAAAAGAAATCAAATTTTGTTTAGCCTATATGTTACCTCCAGGGTACCCATGAGTTCCCTCGAAATTGTTAGTCAATTTGGTCCAGCCGTTTGGCCGGCTGTAGCTGACATATATATATGTATAAAAGCGAATAGCTTTATTAAAAAGATGAAACATTTAAAATAAAGGTATTATCAAAATTAACTTTTAAGGTTCTGATGGAGCAAGCTCCCTTCTGCTTGTGGCTTTTTATGGCATTTAAAGTTTTCCAATTGTAAAATGCATTATTTTTAAAAGAGAGTTTTCGAACAAAATTGCAGGGATGTTTATGCAAAGAAAATCTGAAAAATTTGATATCCTGGCTCCAAAAATGCAAGGGGTTTCTAAGTATCCTTTTATTTAATTGGAGGGTTGGAAAAACTGGTTTCCTTCTCAAGTTCTCAAAATCTATATATAAATTCGGCTTGTGTTTGTTTGTATCCAATAAACGTCAAAACGGCTGAACCGATCGGGCCCAAATTTTTTGTGGGACATCACGTGACCACAGGGAAGGTTTATGAATGATAAAAATTTTAAAAATGTGTTTTAAAGGTTTTTAATTTTGTAAAAAAATTTAGATTCTTGAAAATCCGCGAATTTTTTTTTAAAAATCCGCAACATTTTTTTCTTTGTTTTTAAATGTAAACAAAAAGAACATGTTCACAATTTAAATAGAAGATGGGCCCGAAGCACCCTAAAAGCCTAGTAATTAAATAATGCAAATAAATAAAATTGATGACAACAAGTTTTATTAAGCAGTTAAATCTACATAATTAAATCTAAACATATTACTAATGAGAGATTCTTTTATCTTGTCCTTTTCTCGCTGAGCCATTTATCCAGCAACAACAACGACATGAGAAAAATTAGGCCTGAAAAATCAGTGATGAGAAAACTAAAGAATTCGACTAAACAAATCAAAATTCAAAGAATTGATCTAAAAAATTTTAGAAATCAAAAATCATTCAGTAATTAACGATTTAAAAAAGCCAGAAATTCTACGGGCAGATCGATTTTTCCTTTTTTTCAAAACATGTTAACATACGGTTCAAAACATGTTAACATGCGGTTCAAGAAATGCGTCTAACCGCTAAATACCGCTCATTTGTCCGTTTTTTGACATTTGATAACTTTTTTTATTTTTTATTTTACTAGTTTTTTTCGATACTCTTTCCCAAATACTGGTTTTATGGTTATAATTACAAAATTAACTTTTCTGAACTCAGTGTTTCAAGATAGATATTTATATACCCATCTTGATTTATTTTGACGACATTTTTTGGCTTACAAATTAATGCAATAATTTACACAAAAAAGCAAAAATCTGGATTAGTTTGAAAATTATGAAGAAAAAATTCACAAATCTTTTTTTTTAAATGTATCAAAGAAAACGTTAGAACTGCTGCAAGGTGGATTTTAGCATTTGATAAAAAAATCACCATTTCTTTGAGCTGAACTGTACCAGTATTTAGTTTTATGTTGCCGTATTTCTAACTGAATTTGTGTCATGGAAACAGGTTGCATTTTGTTCCAGTAAAAAAAAAACTCAAAAACAATTATTTCCCGATGAAAGAAACTGTGTTGTTTTTATAAAGAATTTCATTAATTCAAGGGTTCAGGGAAAATTCAAGTTGTATTTAAATTCTTTTTATGGAAATAATATGGCGACCTGAGACAAAAACATTTTAAAAAATGAATAAAATTCCATTAAGTTGCAAAAGAGTGAATTTTGTCCAGTAGTATTTTATAAAACTAAACCGCTCAAGCTCTGATATTCGTTACCATATCCGTAACCTTTAATATTTCAACTTTTAACAGTTGATCTAACATAATTTATAGTCAGACATATCCATTGTAGATATCGAGATCAATGATTTAGATTTAGGCCGGCGCTCAATTGAAACCGGTTTTTGGCGGATTTTAGACGCGGCTCAAAAAAATTAAATTAGGACTCAGGTTGCAAAGACATAAGGATTAAAAAAGAAAAGGTTGAAATAATGTTCAATTTCGTTTTACTCACCGGACCAATAGAGCTGCTTCTTCCTCTGACCTTCATCCTAGCCAGCACCTGCTCATTCAGGTCAGCACGCTCCTACAATTTATATTATTATTGTGCATAGTTACATAGTTAAATAGTTAAATTAAGTTAGCTTTTTAGAAAGGATGTATGTGGGTGGTTACGTAGTTGGCTAGTCAGACAGTATCGTGTATTTATATTATTATTGTGTATAGTTTGTTAGTTAAATAGCTAAATTGTTAGCTAGTTAGGCAGGATGTAGGTGGGTGGTTATCGTGGATTTATATTACTAAAGTCTAAAACTTCTTCACTTTGGGTTTCCAGCTTTTTATTGCTCAAAAGAAAAAGAAAAACATTATATTTGTTCACTTTGAAGTGTTGCTAAAACGGAAAATATTAAAACTATGTCGATACAATATACAGATAATATATCTATATATAAGTTTACATATATATATATAAATATATCTATATTTATATATATACAGTTTACAAGTATATATTTATAAGCCTAACCTTGGGTCTGGTTTAGCTTACATAATCTAACATGACAATCTCTGAAGAATTCGTTTTTTAAATCAAGTTTTAGTTTGATAATGTTCTATTCCTGTTTGGGCCGAGGGGGGGGTAGGGGGTAGGGTTCAATATTATACAACAAAATGAGTGTAAGCTGTGCAGTGCAATAAACGCTGGCATTTGTATTTTCTTGGTTACAAAATAAAATTGTTTTATAACTTAAAGTTGATGATTTAAAAACAAGTTACTGAGTAATGATAAAATTAAGTAACTTGAAGATAAAACTAAATTTTTGAATTTAAAAGGAGGAATACTTTTGAACTATGAGTGGATGGAAATTGCAATGATATTCAATTAATAAAAAAAAAAAAAAAAAAAATAATATCCCAAAAATTTTCCAAGGGTTGAATCCAACTGACTCAACGAGATGTTACATGTGTACACAAAATAGAGATATATAACAACAGACACTAAAAACATATAAAAACAAAAAAAAAAAGGGCCTCTAGACTCTAAAACAAAAAAAAAGTACACGCGCTCAAAATATAATATCACACATAAAAATAAAAAAAAAAAAAAAAAGAGTTTAAAATCAAAAAAGTCAAGTTCAAAAACAAATCAAAGAAACAAAATAATAAAGCCAATCCGACTCAAGATGTGTTTAGTATCTTTAAAGCATCCTGTCTTTGCTTTAATTTTCAAGTGTGGACGCTTACCATTGACTCTGCAGCATTTCCTTGGACTTGTCTGAATTTGGCCAGATTGAGAGCAGCAATCTCTTCAGCTTCTTCAATCTGCTTCTTGTAGCTCTTAATCTTGGACTTAAAAATTTAATTATTTATCTATTGATCTATTAGATCTACAAGAGAGGAAAAGAAAACTGATGTATTATCAGCTCTGCAGAAGATAAAACTGCCAGAGAATAATTATAAATTTTGTTAGATGTAAAATTCAAAAGTAAATGTTAAAACATATATCTATTGAGAACTGAATATTGTATTTTGTGTTTTTACCTGAAGCTGATCCACAAGTGCTTGCATTCTTTCGTGATTCTTTCTGTCTTCATCCTGCTGGAAAATTAGTTCCTTCACCCTTCTTTCACTTCTCCTTAGATTCTTCTGTGCATCTCCATACCTCCTGAAACCATGCAATCTTGCTCATGAACTACCTACTGCCAGTTCAAATTTGAACCACCGATTTAAAGTTGAAGATTAAGGAAGGCTTTGAATCGATGTTTCCAAATTGAACCAGTAGTGGGCATTTTGAATTCATTAAATTCAGTCCCAGTCCAGTTCTCTTTACTAATAAACCAAATATAAAACTTACCTGTTCTCAGCATCAAGCTCACTCTCTAGTTCTCTAATCCTTGTGTCCATTTTGGCAATAGCTTTCTTTCCTCCCTTGAGAGCGTTTGTTTCTGCCTCGTCACATTTGCTGCTCAAATCTTTTACCTGGAAACATCACACACTTGGTAAAACAACTGTTAGAGTTATGGAAATAGTAACACTAATCTATATCTTAAGAATCAGAAGTTATTTGAGAACTTGAACTGGGCTTTTGGGATCCCGTCCCATATCCAGAGTAAAAGTTGATAATAACAACTTTTTCCAAAATTCTTTTAAACATGACAAGGACAACATTTCCCAATTTTTAACTATTTTTTTAAAATCAAAATCATTTTGGAGTTATTTTCATATTATAACTCTTGACCGTTTTTAAGACAATGTCAGGTTTTCCATTTTCGACCATATCCTGAATTAAGAACATTGTCGCGTTTTCAAAACAACACCCACTGAAAACAAAAATTATTTTATGAATTATTTCTAGTACCTAAGTTTCCACACATTTTATCTGTTAAATTAGAGAATATGGATGATTTATTTTCAAGCCTTTTCAACAAACAGTTTCCCACATTTCTAGTTAAATCCATATTGTAAGAACTAAATGATATTAATATTTTGATTTCTATTTGCTGTAATGATTTTTAGATTATAAAAGAACAGTTTGTTATTATTTTATATTTTGTTTATATTTTAACTTTTCCAAAATGTTTGTTATGTTATGTAATTGTGAGCAAATGCTTAAAAATTGACGTTGTTATGAAATCGAAAACTCAAAACCAGGATATGTTCCGAAAATGCGACATAAGCTGAAACGCGGTAATTGTTTCAAAATAGGGATGTATTTAAAAACTAATACTCACATCTTATTATTAGTTTGAAATTGACAGTTATTGTTTCAATATATAGTTTTAGCCATTTTTAATAAATATATGTTGTAATGTTGTTCTAATCGGCTTGGATTTTTAAATATATACTCTTGAAATAGACAAATCTACAGATTTGGTATATTTCTAAGACTCAGTGTTAGAAATGGGCCAAGTGTTTGTTTTAGAAAACATGTTTAAATATTATTAAAAAATCAAAAAGAAACCTGGGCTTCCAGCAGTTTTCTATCTCTCTCTACTGCCATAGCAAACTCCTGTTCTGCACGCAGCTCATCTGCCAACCTATGAGCAACAAATATTTAATTGAGATGCTCGATTTTTCAAATAGAACCAATCTAAATTAAAAAATCAATTTCAGGAAAAATTTAACCTTGCAGCATCAATCATAGCTTTACAAGCTTTCTCCTCAGACATCATTACTTCATGACCCATTTCATCAAGATCATTCTGGAAAATGGATATTATGAAGAAAACAATTCAGCAAAGTTAGTTAAAATCTTACTTGAAGGGTTGCCATCTCTTGCTCCATCTTCCTTTTTGAGGCAGTGATTGCTTGGTTAGATACCACCATCTCAGACAACTGTTCATTGGAATCAGAGTGATCCTAAACAAATTCATGATTATTGATTATTCATCTAAATATGTAAATATAAAATATAAATTAAAAAATAATAGAAATAAAAGCTAGAATTGAATACCTGTTCCAACATCCTTCTAGTTCTATCAGTTTGTTCTAGTAAAGTTCGAGCTTCCTCCAAAGCATTCTTGTTTGCATTAGCTTTCCTCTCGGCAGTTACTAGATTATCTTGTGCAATGATTTTTGCATGAGATTCTTCTTCAAACTTAGCTTGAACATCTCTTACCTAGACAATAAAAGTTTAATTGGTCCTCATCTTTTTATTGAATGTAAAATTAACCTTACCTGCAGTTGGTACTTTTGAATAGTTTTTTGAGTCTCTACATTGTTGGCATTAGCATGATCAAGGGCCA